TAATGGTGTACGCGAAGGACCTGTCTTGACGTTTTACAGGGGCTGGGGTTGGGGCCGCACTGCTACGCGTGCTCGGAACGTGCCAGGTGGTCTTGTTGTAGGTTACTCCGGGCACACTTAGCTTTGTCCGGCCGCTTAACGGCCGGACTCAAGAATTGCCTTAAGAGGCTGCATTGTACTTCTGCCGCGAGAGCCGCTGTATGTTCCTCCGTGCGGAGAGAACGTTTAGTGTTTCCGTTGACCGTGATGACTCCTCGAGGGCCTGGCATCTTGAGCTTGAGGTATGCGTAGTGCGGCACCGCGTTGAACTTTGCAAACGCGGTACGTCCGAGTAGGGCATGATAGCCACTGCGGAACGGAACTATGTCGAAGATTAACCTCGCTTCGGAAGTTATCCGGGGATCCGAAGACACTTCCAGTGTAACTGAGCCTGTACAATTGGCTTCTACACCTGGTATGACGCCTTTAAAGGTTGTCTTGGTTGGTTTAATCCTTGAGGGGTCTATGCCCATTTTTCGCACTGTATCCTGATAAAGCAGGTTCAGGCTGCTGCCGCCATCCATCAGGACTCTGGTGAGGTGAAATCCATCGACGATTGGGTCTAAGACCAATGCGGCGAATCCGCCGTGGCGGATGCTGGTGGGGTGGTCCCTTCGGCCAAAAGTGATCGGGCAGAAGGACCATGGATTGAACTTCGGGGCAACTGGCTCCATCGCGTATACATCGGTATGTGCATTGCGTATATCATGTTCACCGTCCGCACCTGTGGGGGGAAACCCTTCTGTCCTCTATTGTTCGGCGGTCGGGTCTCTTCCTCGTCATCGCTATGCAGCCCCTTGTCATTGTTTTCGGCAATTAACTTGCCTGCCTGCTTGAATACCCAACAGTCCCTGTTGGTGTGGTTAGCTGGCTTTTCCGGGGTGCCGTGTACCTGGCACGAGCGGTCGAGTATTCGGTCCAAATTGGATGGACCCGGATCAGTTCTTTTGAATGGCTTTTTCCGTTGACCGGGTTTGGAGCCTCTGAATCCGGCATTGACTGCCGTATCCTCACTATTGTCGCCGTTAATGCGGCGTTTGTTTTTGTTGCGACGCGACCTGCCATTGCGGTCCTTGATATCCGGACTGTCAGAATTTTTGCTGAGGTTGTTGCTGCGGGCTAGCCAGCTGTCCTCACCCGCGCAGAAGCGGGTCATGAGTGATGTGAGGGATGCCATGGATTTAGGCTTTTCTTGTCCTAGGTGCCGGGCAAGCCACTCGTCGCGGATATTGTACTTGAAGGCTGCAAGGGCCTCCGCATCCGGACAGTCGACGATTTGATTTTTCTTGGTTAAGAACCGTGTCCAGAATTGTCTGGCCGATTCGTCTGGCTGCTGAATTATGTGGCTTAGGTCATCAGCGTCTGGTGGCCGCACATACGTGCCTTGGAAGTTATCGAGGAATGCGGCTTCCAGGTCTTCCCAACTCCCAATTGACTCTGCTGGCAAGCTGTTAAGCCAATGCCAGGCTGGTCCTTTAAGCTTGAGGGGGAGATATTTGATGGCGTGAAGATAGTCACCGTGAGCCATGTGGATGTGAAGGAGATAGTCTTCGATCCAAACCGCAGGGTCTGTTGTGCCATTGTAAGATTCAATATTCACGGGTTTAAACCCTTCAGGGATTTGATGATCCATTACTTCGTCTATGAAGCATAGTGGGTGTGCGGCGCCTCTGTACTAGGCGATATCACGACGGAGCTCGAAGGAGCTTTGTCTATTTTGTTCGGCCCGGCCGGACTTACTATGTCCGACGCGACGGTTGTCGTCATGTATCATGGGGCGCCCACGCGATCCATAGATCGATCTTGATTGTCTTGCCCTATCCTCCAATATATCTCGCAAGTCCGGAGTGTTCCCCTGTGGCCTTGTGCTTTTCGAGCGATGCCGGGGTACGGGTCTAGTGAAGGGCCTAGAGGCCTCTCTGTCGCGACCACGGGGTGGTCGGTCAGCCGTATTGTCTCCTGGTGATGCGGGTTCATACGCCTCCTCCTCTAATCGGGGGAGCAGCTTGCGTTTAGGGTAGCTTTTGGAGGGGCGTTCGAGCTCATGCTCTTCGGCCGCGAGGACTTCAGTCCATCTGTCGGCTAGCAGATCTTGATCAACTCTAAGCTGTTGCTGCTTTTTCTTGAGGCTGTTCGCTGTGGCCATAAGTCTGCGTTTAAAACGCTCTTGTTCGACGGGATCCTCAGGCACGACGAATTCATCGTCGTCGAGGCTTGCCTCATCTCCGGAGGGAGGCATATAATCCTCTACCTCTTCTTCTGCCGCTCTCTCATGAGGGCTGGCGTCTCCGTCCTCCTGCGCTGGATCTTGCTGGAGTGGGTTGTCTTCGGCACTGTCCGGTGTATTATTATCTCCGGTGCCGGAATCGTCATTCTTGCTGTGGCGGGATTTAGAGTGGCGCCGCTGACGCCGGCGCTTGGGCTGTTTCTTGGAGGGGTCATCCTCCGTTGTTCCTTCGCCATTCCCATCCTTTGGGATATCCACCATGTATATGTCATATGATGAGGTGGCTTTCCAGTGCCTGGTGGGCGCTGGTTCTTGGTCGTCTCCGGCATCGTCGTCCATACCGTCGATGTCTTCGGAGTCGTAGTCTAGCATGTCGGTTAGATCGTCGACAGTGACTACCAAATGGGTGGTGGGTGGGCTTTGAATTTCTTCGTCGCCCGCATCCCAACCGTCCTGACCGCAGTCCGGCCAGGGCTCTCCTGATAACGAGAGATACTTTAGCGAACTCAAGATGTCGCCGAAAGGTGAGTGTTGAAAGATGTCCGCTGCGGTGAACTCCATGATCGGCGCCCAATCAGATTCGATCGGAGGGGGCGCGGGAGGTTCGGAGTCCGGAAAGGAGTCCGGCACCTCGGAGTCACGAGCTTCGTGAGGGACAAGGTCAGTGTTCGGCTCTATCGCCATAGAGGTTGCAGCCCCCGAGGCGGTGTCTAGCCATCCGTCCTCGATCTACGCAGCCGGCTCCGAATTGAAGATCGGGGCGGACTCGAGTGCGGCCTCCAGGGTACTGTCCGGCTGCAGAGCTAAATCATGCCCGTCGTGACAGTGCAGCGCGCTTGGCTGTGGCTCGAATCCATCGAAGATCAAGTCCCCGCGGATGTCAGCCGTGAAGTTCAAACTTCCAAATCTGACCTGACGGCCAGGGGCGTAGCTTTCGATCTGCTCCAGTTGGCCAAGCGAATTGGCCCAAAGTGCGAAGCCGCCGAATACGAAGATTTGTCCGGGGAGGAAGGTCTCACCCTGGACTGCGTCGTTGATGATGATCGAAGAAGCCATCGAGCCTATCGGTGACGACACAGAGGAACTCTCAATGAAAGCACCAATGTCGGTGTCAAAACCGGCGGATCTCGGATAGGTGGTCCCGAACTGTGCGTCTAGGCGGATGGTAACAGGAGACAAGGGACACGATGTTTTACCCAGGTTCGGGCCCTCTTGATGGAGGTAAAACCCTACGTCCTGCTTGATTAATATTAATGATGTGTGTTACAAGAGTAGATCTACCACGAGATCAAGGAGGCTAAACCCTAGAAGCTAGCCTATGGTATGATTGTTGTTCGTCCTACGGACTAAAGCCATCCGGTTTATATAGACACCGGAGAGGGCTAGGGTTACACAGAGTCGGTTACAATGGTAGGAGATCTACATATCCGTATCGCCAAGCTTGCCTTCCACGCCAAGGAAAGTCCCATCCGGACACGGGACGAAGTCTTCAATCTTGTATCTTCATAGACTTGGAGTCCGGCCGATGATGATAGTCCGGCTATCCGGACACCCCCTAGTCCAGGACTCCCTCAGTGGTGGTGGTGAGCACGAAAGTGTTTGAGTTAAGTGTAGTATGAATTCAATGGGGCTCTGTCCACAACATGAAGACATGTTATGTTGTTATTTTGTGGATCAAACTTGATCTGTTTGGTGGCTTCAAGTATATGCACATTTGAATTTGAATTGTTTGACTGGATGATTAAATGTATGTGTATATTCAAAATTGATATGTATATTAAACTATTGCATATAATCAATTTGTATCATTCAAATGGTTGATGAAATATTGTGAAGTTGTTTGAATGTAGGTGAGAAAGGATGAAAAAACTAGTCAATTTTTTCCTGAGTTAAATACAGCAGTTGTCACTTTAAAAAACATTTGAGGAGTTTATAGGATACGGGTCAGCTAAAGTTGCCCTGAGAGTGCAAACTTCTTTTTTTGCAAAAAGACCCAACACCATATATTAAGTATCACAGGACCTTACAAACACACCCATACATAAAGATAAAATTACATTGAAATTTTTGGGGTGCCGAAGTCTTCTTCCTCGTGGGTCTACCGGTGCCTCTTTTTTTTTCTTCATATATCAAGGTTTGAGATTGCTAACCGGGTCTGCCATCTTTTTTAAACCCAAAATATTGTAGAGGCAAAAGCCGGGAAGTCGTGGATGCAGTCCAGGAGTGTAAACTTAGCATTGATGCTATCTTATTGCATGTTCCCTTTGGTCGGTGAATCAATCAGTGCAAGCGAAAGGGATGCCCTTAAACAACGGGCCAACGGTGCAATCACCTAACTTTTGATTGGACTACTTATTTTGTATTTTAACCTTTAAAATGGAGTTTTATATATGCTTGTTACTACTTGGGCGATTTCGCAGATGAGTGAAAATACTATATGCTATAAAGATTTTAGCATTTGCATGGATTATTTAACCTGACAGCTCGTGTAGACCATAGACCATATTGGAACGCAGTGGGAACGGGACTGCGTCGACAGTATACTCCGGAGTCCCGAGTCCGGACGCAAGCAATGACGCCACGATTGAACACACGTACTACCACGGATCCATGATCAGAACCGCGCGCCTACTTAACGATGAACTTGATCGGCTATGTATAAGCGCAATCAAGCAAAGCGCAGGCACCCGTACGTCGATCTCCAAGAAGCGGACGCGGGCTATCTAAGCAGGCGATGGCGGCGGCGGTGAAGGTGTACGGGTGGGCGATGTCGCCGTTCGTGGCGCGCCCATTGCTGTGCCTGGAGGAGGCAGGCGTCGACTACGAGCTCGTCCCCATGAGCCGCGAGGCCGGCGACCACCGCCAGCCGGACTTCCTCGCCAGGAACCCCTTCGGCCAGGTGCCGGTTCTCGAGGACGGCGACCTCACTCTCTTCGGTAATTCCGTCATTATCTCTTATTTGTCTGTTTATTATCGATACCCCCAAACAGTTAAGGAGAATTGGTACTAGTGATCAGAATTTTCGCGCAGAATCGCGGGCAATCGCGAGGCACGTGCTTCGCAAGTACAAGCCGGAGTTGCTGGTAGGCGACGGCTCGCCGGAGTCGGCGTCCACGGTCGACATGTGGCTGGAGGTGGAGGCCCACCAGCACCACCCCGTGTTGGTCGCCATCACGATGCAGTGCCTCGTCGCCCCGCTCCTCGGCAACGCGCCGGACCAGGCCGTCCTCGACGAGAACCTCGGGAAGCTGGGGAAGGTGCTGGAGGTGTACGAGGCACGGCTGTCGGCATCCAAGTACCTCGCCGGGGAATCGGTCAGCATCGCCGACCTCAGCCACTTCCCGATGATGCGCTACTTCATGGAGACCGAGTACGCGGCGCTGGTAGAGGAGAGCCCCCATGTCAAGGCGTGGTGGGAGGAGCTCAAGGCGAGGCCGGCGGCCAGAAGGGTGACGGAGTTCATGCCGCCTGACTTTGGGCTTGGAAAGAAGGCAGAGAAGTGATGGGTGATGACAACAACACCGGCAAACTGGCCTGCCGCCTGCGGCTGCGGGCGATGGTCACCGACATACGTTCTGTGGCCTGATACAGAGTGAATTGCATAAAACCATCACATTTTGAGCTTTTTGTGCAGAAAACCACCTGGTCCCTAATCATTTACAAAAATTACCACACATTCAGTAAACTTTTTGCAAAAAAGACTGATCAGGTGATTTATCCCGTTTAATCACTTTCTGACAAGTGGGTCTGGAATGTAAGGAGCTAATTTGGCAACATATTAACACACACACCCCTACATCTAAAAGAAAAACGCAATCAGGCCCTCCCCTTGTGGATAACCTCGAGCAGTTCAAAATCCAAATACCCCAAAGCCCATGACCGCCGGTGCGCTACTGTCCGGTCGGCGCCGCTCCTCCGCTGTCAGACACACCCTTCCCATCACCGGAGACCATTGACAGCGCCGCCGCGCCCGTCTTCTTACTCGCAGCGACAAAGAAGTGGCAGGAGGAGCGCCTCCATACTCGCGGCCGCGGGGCCGTTCTCCGGCGCGCGCTCGCTCCACCAGCCCTGCCATCTGCCGGAAGCAGCGCAAGTGCGGCTGCTGCTCGGGGCCTTGAAGGCCGACGGCGCGCCCAGGCCCTGTCGTGGCCGCACCTCGGCCATCTGTCGGGGACGCGCTGCCGTGGCCGCGCCTCGGCCATCTCTCGGGGACGCCTGGGCCGCTCGGCGGCCATGAGCGTGCTGCCGGCTCTCTCCACGGGAGCATAGGAACGGTGTGCCACCACCCTGTCGCCTCCTCTTCATGGATCCAGGAGCTCACCGCCGCCCAGACCAAGCTCTGATGGCCGCCACACCCTGGATCGACGTTGTGGCGTGCGCTAGAGGACCAGGTGGCGCGGCTCGAGAGCGTGCGGAGGCTCGTGGCGATAGTGCGCCGCTGGCCCTCGCGCTCACGAAGACGGACGACACTTGCGGGGCAGATCCCCTGCGCCGTCACGCGTCTCGCCGGCCGGTGTGCCCTCCCTGTTGCTGCACGCGAGGAAGGAGATCCCCTCCGTGGGGGAGGGGGAGGGGCTTGATTGCTTTTTCTTTTAAGTCCAGGGAGGTATACATTAATTTGTTGCCAAATCAGCTCCTTACATTCCGTCCCCACTTGTCGGAAAGTGGTTAAACGGGCTAAGTCACCTGATCGGTGCTTTTTGCAAAAAGTTTACTGAATGCGCGGTGAGTTTTGCAAATGATTAGGGACCAGGTGGTTTTTTGCAGATGAAACCTGAAATGTGGTGGTTTTATGCAATTCACTCCCTGTGCAGCTATGGCTCAGTTCTTTTGGTTGCTTGCGTTTTGCTGATTGAATAAAACACAAAATGCTTTGGGTTTCTCAATACAGTTTCTTTGAAATCCTAACTAGTACAATTGTACAAATTCGTGTTTGGCACTCTTTTGAAGGAAACGATGTTGTGTCTCAACTTGTCTGTCATGATCAGTTGACCAGTTGTATTCGTGGTTGACAATGGGATGTCAATAAGGTTTTGGGAGGATACGTGGTTAGGAGAAACGCCCCTGGCCGTACAATATCCCACCTTGTATTACATTGTGCAACGTAAGGATGATTACGTAGGCAGCGTTTTAAATACGATCCCCTTAAATATTTAATTTAGACGAGCTCTAGTTGGTGAGCAATGGATTGCATGGATGCACCTGGTTCGGAGATTGATAGATGTTCAACTCTCCGACCAACCGGACTCCATGCAATGGAAACTAGCTAAGAATGAGATTTTTACAATAAAATCTTTCGATATGGATTTGATTAATTCTGGCTCAGTCTCGAGATCGTTGCATATTTGGACGATTAAGGTTCCTTTGCGTATTAAAATCTTTATGTGATTTGTCCACAAACAAGTAATTCTTACAAAGGACAACTTAATCAAGAGGCGATGGGTAGGTAGTCCACGATGTTATTTTTATGATCATGATGAAACAATACAACATTTATTTCTTGAATGCCCACTAGCAAAATTGCTTTGGAGAACGATTCATATAGCCTTCAACATTACTCGTTCAGTTGACATTGCATCTTTGTTTGGAATGTGGTTAACTGGGGTCGAACATACTACGGTGGCTCGTATTCGGATTGGAATATGTGCCCTCTTGTGGGCTATATGGAATTGTAGAAATGATTTGATATTTAACAGACAACACAATTTAACTTTCTTGCAGGTCATCTTCAGAGCTACCGCTTGGATCCGTACGTGGTCCTTACTCACTCCTATGGAATTTAGGAAGCCTTTGGCTACTGGGTGCAACCAGTGAGAGATGGTAGCACGGGCTATATTCAACCGGTTCGGATGACGGACGCATAACAGGATAAGAGCTAGGGAGCTTATCCTTCTTATTGCCATTCCGGTTGTGATTGTCAGCATTAACTTTGATTTATTTTTATTTTTCGCTCCACTTGCGAGCTGTAATACTTTGACGACTCTCTGATACTTTGCGAATTTTTAATAAGATGGCTGCATGCATCATTATGATGCAGAGGCCGGGGCAAGCCTCCATTTCCAAAACAAAAAAAGTTGACCAGTTGTACAATTAAATAAAATAGGAAGGGGTTTTCTCATGTAATTTAATAAAACGGGCTTGCTAAAAATCAGTCGATTGAGATTTAATCAAGTCTCAGTCGATCATGCAACATTTTGTCCCAACGTTTGTAACTTTTTTCGTACCGGTTGCAGCATCCGTCTTGTTGGTTGTGGCATGTTTCCCCTCATCGATTGTAGCACATCGTCTCATTGGTTGTAACATCCGTCACAACAATGGTTGTCATTGCTTGCAAAATGATCGAAACATTTTTCGTCATCGGTTGTAGCATCTAGCCGTGCCGCTTGCAGCAAAACAACAACGATGACGTCACTCGACTGAGACTTCGTTAAGTCTCAGTCGATCGAGTTCTTTTTTTTTTTGAACTTCAGTCGACCGAGTACTAGACAAACCCTTAATAAAATGTGAGTGGGTTTTCTGCACACAAAAAACCTCACGCGCAGTCAGCCCCTGACATGTGGGCCAAGGCCACGCGGGCAAGACATATGCCTGGGTACGGACAGACACCGTATTTGCACGTTTGGACAAGTTATGATTCTAGTTTTATGTATTTTACAAGTTTTGAAACTAAAATAACTATGACAGACAAGTTAGGACACTTTCAGTGTATTTAAGTCATAGGTGACAGTTTCCCTATAAAAAAGTCATAAGTGAATGTCCAACTAGGCAATAACAACCTTCTTTACTGGTAATGCAGAGGTAAGGCCTACATCTCGTAGTTATCATAATGGATTTTGAGCTCCTATAGCAAAATTACAGGAACCAGGAGCAACTAGTGGGCGGTGCAAACTGTATACCAGTTAGAACAACCTAAATGATAAGTGTCATACGAGTGGCACAAAGTAACATCATTATGACGTTTTTTACACTAAAGTTGCCAACTGAAAAAGAACAAATCCCCAAAAAACTAAAACTTGCTATCCAAACAAAAAATTGACATGCTTCACAACTAAAATTGTCATCCTTGAATAACTAAATTTGCCATTAAGAAACATCAGGGCGAAATTGCTCCTCCAGACTGCTGTGGCCGATCTAACGCATTTGCCTATTCGACATTGCGTGCCAGATACTACTGTTTTCTCTAGCGAGTGCCCAAGCTAGGAGCGATCATTCTGTTAGATGGGCCGCCCTTCTGGCTTTCCTTTTGCACGGTTTAAGGAAGCGTTCAGAAACTTCCAAACAGTTTTTCTTGTTTTTCCTTTTCTTTCTTAAGATTTCTGTTTGGTTTTCTGTAAGTTTATTCCTTTTCTTTTATATTTTCCGTTACCTTTTTATATTATTTTTTGTTTTCATCTTTTAAATCCACAAACATTTTACCAAATACATGAATAAAATTCAAATCCATGATTTTTTTAAATGTTGAACACTTTCATATTCGTTATTTTAAAAAATCTATGAACTGTTTTCAAAATTTGTTAATATTACTTTCCAATTTGTACTATTTTTGGGGCTCGTGGACAATTTTGTACTTCGTGAACATTTGTTTTGTGTGTGTGTGGGTCCGGGGGGGGGGGGACATTTTTTATTTATTTTTGGGGGTTTGTGGATAATTTTGTATTGCCTGAACATTTTTTACAATCCAAGAGCTTTTTTCAAATTAGTTCGATGAACTTTGTTCAAATTCATGATTTTTTTCCAAATTCACAATCTTTTACAGATTCATTAACTTTTTCAAATTCCTGAAATTTTATTAAATTCACAAAATATATATTAATTTGCGATCTTTTTAGATTCTGAATATTTTTCTTAATCCATAAAACTTCTTTAATCTATTAAAATACCTATAGCTGGTTTTCTTTTAAAAGAGGCGTTGCTGGTTTTGCAAGAGGAGGGAAGTAATCAAGGCGAGCATCTCTCTGTACAACGGAAGTCAACACGAGTGCAAATAGGTGGAGCGTTTGCGTGAGCGCTTAGCATCTCTAGTAGACCCCGCACCTCGCCGACTCGTAAAACGCGTTTGCAGTTCGTGAAAAAACGGAGAGGCAGACCCCGCAAAACGGACCCGTATAAAAGGATATTCACGAAATATACTCTTTTACGGGTCGGCTTTGCGGGGTCTGCTCTTGCGCCGCTGCCGCTGCCAGAAATATCAATATCACATAACAAAAATACAACAATCATCCACACTACAAAATAATTATTTAGAAAAAAATATCAATACCAACACAATACAACAATCATCCACATTACAAATAATTATTCAAATCACCGAAGCAAACTAAATAGTGCAATATAAAACTTGTCCGAATACAAATAACACATGAATTAAATAAAAATGAATAAAAAATGAGTTTGTTACTGTCCAACCCTTCGCCAATGGTCCTCAATGAGACCCTCCTGAAATTTTTTTTAGAACGAAGACGCCAGAGGCGTCCGGCTTTAAATTAATAAAGCCCACAACTTA